ACTAACATCTGGTATCTTACCTATTTTATAGATATCAACTACCACGTAGAATCTTACCTGTTTTATATATATCAACTACCACGTAGCATCTTACCTGTTTTATAGATGTCAGCTACCACGTAGAATCTTACCTGTTTTTATATACCAGCTATCACGTATATAGCATCTTACCTGTTTTCTATATACCAACTAACATATGGTATCTTACCTATTTTTCTATATATTAACTACCACGTACCATCTTACCTGATTTCTTTATACCAGTTACCACGTCATATAATACGTGTTTTCTACAGCTATGGAAAAAAATATATCAATGCGTAAAAAACGCCAAGTTATAAAAATAGCCCTCTCATGTAGATAGAAGAAACCAGACACACACACACGCAAGTCAAGCTAGAAGAAACAATTGGGGTAACCCTGTAATTAACTATTACTTTTATTGAAACATTACTACTGTCAATAAAAGTAATGATAGATTACAAGGTTGTCTGTATTGTTTTTATATAATTTCGCTTCTGTGTGTCTGATATCTCCATTTACAATGTTTTTGTTAAAGATTTTCTTTCAAAAACACAATACCTACAGTGCTATCTGATGTGTGCGTTAAAAGTCATTGGTTTTTGTCTGTCGAATATAAAGATATAATATATTTATTGTGTAACTACTACTGCCCAGTTTTCCGGAAGACGCGGGTTTTCGGCTTTCTCTACCAACAAAGCCTCGCTGTACAGCTTGTGAGATCTACGTTTAGAAACATGTGTTTTGTATGCAACTTGAAGTAAGCCTCGTGGTAAAGGTCAATGTGTAATATGTAAAGCGTTACAAGTTCGATCTTACTCTAAGACACACTATTTTATATATATTTTTATTATATTTTCTTTCCGACCGAATGCTCCTTCTTGAAAGATGGTTTAATATAAATGGTATAAACGTCACAGTAGAGGCACTCCTTGGTTTAAAACATGGTTTAATAATAAATGGTATAAACGTCACAGTAGAGGCACTCCTTGGTTTAAAACATGGTTTAATATAAATGGTATAAACGTCACAGTAGAGGCACTCCTTGGTTTATTTTGGTTTAATATAAATGGTATAAACGTCACAGTAGAGGCACTCCTTGGTTTATTTTGGTTTAATATAAATGGTATAAACGTCACAGTAGAGGCACTCCTTGGTTTAAAACATGGTTTAATATAAATGGTATAAACGTCACAGTAGAGGCACTCCTTGGTTTATTTTGTTCAAGTGGATGTGGTGTAATGTAGATATTGTGTTTCAAATGCTCGTGCATCTGTTCGAAAACACGACAGAAAAAGTAGAAGTAGTATGTTTTTGCCTTACTTTGGCGATTTATTTCTCTTATTTTACGACAGATATTTATTTTTTTGCACATTTGATCTAAGATACTTTCACACTGCATGTTAAAAGTGGAACGGTACTTCTGGCTGGTATAATTTAGGTGTGTCAATACCCCAGAAACAGAAAAACTATCCGTGCTGTATAAAAGGCCACTGGTGACTCCGCCAACTTTTTATATAACGTGGCTATCGGAAGTACCATTCCTCTCGGAACAACCACCAAGTAGCATCTTACCTGTTTTATATATATCAACTACCACGTAGCATCTTACCTGTTTTATATATATCAACTACCACGTAGAATCTTACCTTTTTTATATATATCAACTACCACGAAGCATCTTACCTGTTTTATATATATCAACTACCACGTAGAATCTTACCTGTTTTATATATACCAACTTCACGTACAATGTTATCTGTTTTCTATATACCAGCTATCACGTATATAGCATCTTGCCTGTTTCTTTATATCAACTACCACGTAGTGTCTTACATGTTCTCTATGTACCAGCTTCACGTAGAATCTTACCTGTTTTATATATACCAACTTCACGTAGAATGTTATCTGTTTTCTATATACCAGCTATCACGTTTATAGCATCTTGCCTGTTTCTTTATATCAACTACCACGTAGTATCTTACATGTTCTCTATGTACCAGCTTCACGTACCATCTTACCTGTTTTCTGTATACCAACTAACACATAGTATCTTACCTGTTTTTCTATATATCAACTACTACATAGCATCTTACCTGTTTTCTGTATACCAACTAACACATAGTATCTTACCTGTTTTTCTATATATTAACTACTACATACCATCTTACCTGTTTTCTGTATACCAACTAACACATAGTATCTTACTATTTTTCTATATATTAACTACTACGTACCATCTTACCTGTTTTCTGTATACCAACTAACATATAGTATCTTACTTATTTTTCTATATATTAACTACTACGTACCATCTTACCTGTTTTCTGTATACCAACTAACATATAGTATCATACATATTTTTCTATATATATATGTTTTCTATTAACCAGATGTCGTATAGTGTCTTACCTGTTTTCTAGATATCAGCTAGTTACGTAGCACCTTACCTGTTTTCTATATATTAACTACCATATAGATTCTTACCTGTTTTCTGTATATCAACTAATACGATATATTACATCTTACTCGTCTTATGTGGACCAGCTACAAAGTATCGCATGTAACCTTTCTTCTATATACAAATGTCTAGTTACCATGTGAAATCTTACCTGTATCTTATATGTATTAGCTACCTGGTAGAATTTGTTGTTAAGCATAGAGCTTCGCATTATTCTACCTGCTGTGCCCCTTGCAGAAATAGAACTCCATCATCATTGTTCTTCATCGGTATTCGGACCATGTTTTGAACCAGGGAGGGTCAGGTTCAGCGTTGACCTCTTCCTCCCTCTCAGGAATTGTAACTTTGTTTGCACTGTTACTGAACCCTAGATAATAACACTTGTTACGTTGTTGCATTATTCACACTATGTTAAATTTTGTTCATTGTTCGCAGTTTTAATTAACATACCCTTTTCGTACCATGTCCAACTCATGGGGAAATATTAACTCGTATATTTTTGCTAGCTTCACTTGTGCATTATCGCACTATTTGTCCATGTTCATAATACAGTTCCGCTTAGCAATCATATACAAAAACTTACATACAAAACCCTTTTGAAATAGAGCTACGTTTGTATCTAGGATTCAGTTAGCCTAGCGCTGTTTGACCTGTAAGTTTCTTATTTGTGATGTTTAAAGGGGAGAGGTACTTAGGGCTTGATTCTTCATATATTATGAACTCACTAATTTGTTCATCAGTAGCGCTTTTTGGCCTGCAAGTTTCTTATTTGTGATGTTTAAGGGGGAGAGGTACTAAGGACTTGATTCGTCATATATTATGAACTCTCTAGTTTATTCATCAGTTCGTTTTTATTAACATTTTTCATATAACATTGAAGCGAGTTATTCCGGAGTCTGTCTAATAGTGTTGTCATGTTTGAATAGTTGTGTATAATTACAGAGTTTGTTGATCGTGGGACTGTACATGCTTTCGTTAAAATATAGTTTTGTATTTGCTGTAGCTTGCTGATGTTTGTTTTTGATACATTTATCCATGTTATACAGGTTTATTCTACGACTGGTCTTATGTATGTTTTGTACATTTTTAATATGTTTTCTGGTGAAGCACCTTGGACGTTGCTAGTCAGACTCCTAAGGTAACTCTTTTTTTTTTCAACTTCTGATTTTTGTGCTATTGATGTGTGGTATCCAGTCTAATTTTGAGTCAAATGTAGTCCCTAAAAATTTTGCTGATGTCCTACCTGCTAGATGTAATTGTGGTATTATTTTGCTTGTTTTGTACAATTTTATAAAAAATATAACTTGTGTTTCGTATGCATTAATTTTAATTCTCCATTTGTTGCAGTACAATTTTATTTCGTTTAGCAGTGGTTGTATATTGTATGTTGCTGTTGTTGGGTTTGGGGCACTTTCCAGATTGCAACATCATCTGCGAAATGTGAGCAAAAAAAAAGTGTGGTTTGGGTCTTTGAGGGACACGTGGCTGACATACATGATAAACCTGGTAGGGCTAAGTACTCCTCTTTGAGGGGCACCCGCCTCCGGAGCGCAGTACTCGGAACAGGTGTCCTCAACATTTACTCTATGTTCCTATCTTGTGGTTTGGGTCTTTGAGAGACACGTGGCTGACATACATGATAAACCGGGTAGGGCTAAGTACTCCTCTTTGAGGGGCACCCGCCTCCGGAGCGCAGTACTCGGAACAGGTGCCCTCAACATTTACTCTATGTTCCTATCTTGTGGTTTGGGTCTTTGAGAGACACGTGGCTGACATACATGATAAACCGGGTAGGAATAGCACTCGGAATAGGTGCCCTCAACATTTACTCTGATGTTCCTATCTTCCAGGAAGTTAGAAACCCAGCGAAAAATTTCTATGGGGAGTCTTAGTTTGGGCAGTTTGTATCTCAGTCCATTCTGCCATACTTTATCCAGTACTCTTTCAACATCTGGGAAGCATGCCACTGTGCAATGTTTTTGTATTAAAGCTGTGTATTACATCTTCCATTAATCTAATTAGATGATCGGTTGTATGTTAGCGTAATAAATCCTCGAATTTACCGCTGATCTACTGAGGGGCATGTTCAGTCAAAGAAGTCACTAAGGTTGCCCATGGCGAGGTGTACAACGGCCAGTGGCCATACACAATCTTGGGGTTTTAAGCCTGCATTAAACCGCAAACTTCAGCTGTTTATCGTACGTACTTGCCATGCTGTTCAATTGATAAAGTGGCTGAAAGATTCATGTACAGCTAAATTAAGAAAAAACAAATGTATAATAATAAAAACAAACCTATTTCGTGACAGATAGAATTCTACGCCTAAATACTAAAATTATAGTCAAGATTACATAATTTATAACTTAAGTCTGAATTTAAAAGAGAAAGAGAGAGAGAGAGAATGACGTCCATACCTTGGAATTTTCAGGCGAATTGTGATCACTGACACGATCTAACAATTCCGCGAGCACTGCGCTGTAGCTAGCTGTATGACAGCATTGTGTACCTGTATCGTTTTCAAGACATGTGATGTGAATAAAGTGTGTCCTTTTAGTTGTTGTTCTTGTGTTCTTCTGAGAGTTGTGTCAGGTAACAAACAGTGATATACAAGCGCATGATTCTACCTTCATTATATCCAAAACTTTCAAATTATATAAAATATAATTTTTTTTGGTTTAGGCCCCATGACATGATAACAGATATAACATGGGATTTTATTGCCACCGTCTTGTCGAATGTGTAAAACCACACATCAAGACGTACGCAATGTATAGTTTACAAATGGTTTTACTGCCACAGTTTTCCCTCAAATGTGTATAATAGACATAAAAACACACGCACTGTACAGATTACTATTGGATTTTACTGCCACGCTCTTCCCTCAAATGTGTATTATGCATATCAAAACGAACACTGTACAGATTACTATTGGTTGTTACTGCCACAGTATTCTCTCAAATGTGTACTATACACATCTCAGTGGCACGAATGTGAGTAAAAATAAAGTTACTGGTAACTAAATTATTCCACAGTTACATTAGTGGCACGAATGTGAGTAAAAATAAAGTTACTGGTAACTAAATTATTCCACAGTTACATTAGTGGCACGAATGCGGGTGAAAATAAAGTTACTGGTAACTAAATTATTCCACAGTTACATTAGTGGCACGAATGCGGGTGAAAATAAAGTTACTGGTAACTAAATTATTTTACACTTACATCAGTGGCACTAATATGGGTAAAAAATAACGTAGGGAAAATTAACGTCACTCACATTTAAGAAAAGACTGTGGCAATAAAAATTAATAGTAGTCTGTACAGTGCGCGTGTTCTTGTAACTGTGGAATAATTTAGTTACCAGTAACTTTATTTTTACTCACATTCGTGCCACTGATGTAAGCGAACTCGAGAATTGATGAATCCTCAATGTGGCAGTTTCCAATTAATGCGTTATATGTTACACAAATTGTTTTCCAATTAATGCGCATTAGTAAAACACCGGATTTATTCAATGGCGGAAAGTGAAGGACTTACAGAAATTCTTCAGGGTGAAAAACGAAGACGCTTGAATTATTTTTGTAAGTACCTTATGACATACTCATTACTGCATTAATTACTATTGTCCAGGTTTCGGTAAAATATTCGTAGCCGTTTTTTCTGTAGCGGCTTGTAATCAGTAATAATAAGACTGGAAACAATTATAAATATATACATTGTTTACTCTAATAAAACAAAGCATTTACGACTGGTATAACGGTGCTTAAATGGTTTTTACATTTCTTCGATCCTTGAATAACTTCGCAGAGCTTATGTTGTTAGCAAAGAAGAACTTAGAAAATCTAGAGGGTGGAAATCTTGACTTTAAAGAATCAACTTTAAAATAGCCCAACAACGTTCGCAGGAATTTGGTTAGTAGCTGCACATAGATTTTTGCGCAGTATATCTAGCCGTTTTTGCTGTAGGCTTCAGTGCTTGAATGGCTTCGAAGAGAAACTTGGCCAGTAGCAATGAAAAAAGTGATAAAATCCCTCCTTCTTTTTCAAGAATCAACATAAAAATAGTCCCATGACCTGCGTAGGTTTTTAGTAGCTTTGTCCAGGTTTTAATAAAATATTCAGAGCCGTTTTTTCTGTAGATTTGTGACACAAGAATAATATGAATAATAATAATAATAATATGAAGAGCAAATGGATGAATTTTGATTTTTGTCCAACAATTGGTAAAACAACTTTTTACTATTATCAATATTTTAGCAGCCTTAGCCATTGAGATAGAAGGTCTTGAGTGTTTTTTGAAGAACAAGTCTGCTTTTTAATATGTTTTTTCCCTGTATGTTATATTAGACATTTTGTGCAATTCCTTGGCGATCCCTATTATGAACTACTATTGTGATTCATGGTAGTAGATAGGCAAAGAACGATTTATAAATCGTTGTTTGCCTGCCTATTATTATGCGTTTGCTTGTATTTGTAACTTTTGTCTTGTATAATGTTGTATTTTTGTTTTGCTTACGTGTGTTGAGGTGTAAGTGTTTCGCAAGGGTGAAAGTTACATCAATTTCTTCACCAATATGCAAGATATGAAAAAACTGACAAAATCTCTCCTGCTCGTTCAAAGATCAACATAAAAATAGTCCTGTGACCTGCGCAGGAGTTTTTTAGTAGGTTTGTCTCGGTTTGAATAAAATATTCCTAGCCGGTTTTTTTTCTGTAAGTTTGCGAAACAAGAATAACAATAATATAAAGAATAAATGGATAAATTTTGTCTAACATCAACTTTTCTTGCTATTATTAATATTTCAGCAGCCTTAGCCATTGAGATAGAATGTTTTAAGTGTTGTTTCAAGAACAAATCTGCTTTTTAAGATGGTTTTGCCCCTATGTTCTATTAGAATTTTTGTGAAATTTTTGGGCGTTCTCTATTATGAACCATTATCCTGGTTCATGATTATTCACATTTTACCCTGAAGTTAGGTACGTTAAACTTGAGATTACAATTCTTGAATCCAGTGTCTCTGAAACTGATCTATAACACCCCTTGCTTATACACTTTGTGAAATTTGTTCAGTTTTCTCTTACTTTAGCCTTACATGTGGATATCATACAAACAATACGTATAACTGAGAAATTTATGTAATAACCCGTTTTTAATGTTTTCGTATGTATTTAGATATTTATATAACACTATACCTGCTGACTACTGTTTGTAGCCAGAGAAAAGGTCTAGGTAGACTCTTTCGTCATCACATCTGTACGAGGAATGGAAAAAAAAAGGAGATTTCGGAATTGATTATTAAGAAATGTCCTAGATAATGCTTTACATTTGCAAGTCCTGAAAGTGAAGCTTTCTAAGAGCATTTAATGCCCCCCAGTAGCACAGCGGTATGTCTGCGGACTTACAACGCTGAAATACGGGTTTCGATACCTGTGGTGGGCAGAGCACAGATAGCCTACTGTGTAGTTTTGTGCTTAATTACAAACAAACTAAGAGCATTTAAACAATCAGATGCTATGTAAATGTTTTTTTTTATTAAAGACAAAAGATTAAGCAGTAAAAACTCTTAAAGGGAGAGATGTGAATCGCCCAATATACAAAAGTAATCAAATTAAGTATTATGTAAACCACATCTAGATGTGGTTTACATATAATATCGTATATAAAAGTATATTTAAATTGATTAGATGTGTTTTACATATAATAACCTAATATCGTATATAAAAGT